AGCTCCCTTGGTTGCTCCCTTTCCCGGTGTGCCGTTGCTGCTGTTGTTGTTACCGTCTTTGTCCGAGCTGCTGCTCGAAATTTTTACAGCTGACTGTTGATGATGATCGGCTTTGTGTGCCCTTTTTGGGGGCGACTCCGATGGGCTGGCGAGCTGATTTTCGCTCATCTCAGACAGCTTTCGCTTCACCGTGAACTCGGTGATGAGGACGGTGAGGTTGTTCACCGTCACCTCCTCCACCTTGACATTATCACGATCTACGTTCTTTAGACGTGGCTTCACCGGCGTCACCTGAGGCGTCTTTTTGCGAGCCTTCTTGCTGACAGTGGCCCGCACCGTCTGCTTGTTCTCGTCCACCTCATCCTCCCACTGTGCATCGCTGCTGTTCATGCTGACTGAATGACTGCGAGAAGAGGACGCAGAGGCGGCAGGCGATTTAGAGCTGCTGGCAGTGCTGCTAAGAGAATTGATTTTATCTGACGAGGGAAAAGAGTTAGTAAGGGAACCGCGAAAACCGTAAAACTCACTTAAAAAAGATGTACCGTGGTGAGTAGCGGCAGTGCTGGGCAAATCGGTACTGGCGTTAGAGTTTGAGCAAGTGGATCCATTCAGTGCTCGATTGTTGTGCTGCTGGTCACTGGTGGACGCTGGACTGCTTCGCCCACTGATGCTGCTCGCGTCAGTGGCCACGCTGCTGTTGCTGTTGGTGTCCTCGCCCAGGCCACTGGTGTTGCTGCCACTTCTTCGGCCCACCTTACCGCCGCCTTCCGGCTTTCCGCCCTTGACCACCGACTTGAGGGCCTGCTGCTTGATCTGCTCCTGCTGGCGAGCCACCTGTTTGGCCACCATCTCCGGATTGATGCGGGGCTTGCGAGTGGAGGTGCCCTTGCGCACGTCACACATCAGACACTTGAAGGCCTCGGCGCTGTTGTGGTAGGTGCACACTGAACACTCCCAGGTGTTGTTGCCGTCTTCAGACATTATGACTGCTTGAGATGATAAGAAACAGAACTATTGGAATTAGGAGATGAAACTGAGTTTCCAAAATTAGATGAGTTGTTGTTGTTCTGAATGTGTACTTGATGTGCTCACAAAACGGTAAAACTCAAGTGCTGATAAAAGATGATGGTGATGGTGGTGATGGCAATGGTGCCAATGACCGTAGTGGGGTGGTGGTGGTCAAGCTGGTGAAGTAGCACAAGTGAAGTGAGATCAGTGAAACATCAAAGAACAGTAATGAAGATGGTTTCTAGTCAAATCAATGTGATAATCAGTGGTGTGTGCTGTAGAGTTCAGTGAGCTGTGAGTTCAACAGCAAAGCAGCTGGTAGAAACCGCTGGTAACTGGTAGTCGGGCACGGTTTCCAGTAGTGCTCTCACCAGGTGCCCGGTCGGGATGTGCTGGAGGTGCTCAATCGCTCCTGTTGGTGGCCAGAGAAAGGCACAAAATTGTATAAGTAGAAGATTCTGAAAAAGAAAAAGAGTAGGCTGTGAGTGGGAGAATGAGTGAGTGGAAAACTACAAAAAGGGGAAACCTACTGCTAGGGCACGAGTTTAGCAGATGCCGCCGCCGACGACGGTAGAGAGTTTAAGAAGCAAGGCGGAAGGCAGACTGCCAGGGCATAGGGACAGCAGCAATACACGGGGAATGGAGTGTGGTGCTCACAATGAATGAGAGAGAGAGAGAATGAGAGAATGAGAGGCCGAAGAATGGGAGAGAGGGAGAGGGAGACTGCCGCACAACAGATAGGATGGATTCGGGCACTCAGTGGTGGTGGTGGCGGTGGTGATGGTGATGGCGGTGCTCAGGGCAGTCAGGTCTGTCTGGCCGGCCACAGTTTGTAGTTCAGCGCACTGGCGTCAGGGCGGTGTGCGTAGTAGTAGTGCCGCTGCTGCTGTCGCTGCTGTAGCGTTAGCTGTCTGTCGAAGTTCGTCTCCTGACCGGAGAGGACCAGATTCTGCCGTCGGTGGCCTCAGTGGATCATCATCGCCATTGCCACTGCTGCACTATATTCCGGCTGCACTCTTCTCACACTCTCTACCCTCGCCCTTCGCCACTGGAGCTGTGGCGGCTGCTGGTGAGCAGACAAGTTGGCTCTCCATCAAATAAAAACATTGCCTCTTCGGCAGTAGTTGGCACACAGAGAACGACGACAGTGGTGGTAATGGCTGAAGAGTCNAGTTCAGCGCACTGGCGTCAGGGCGGTGTGCGTAGTAGTAGTGCCGCTGCTGCTGTCGCTGCTGTAGCTGTCTGTCGAAGTTCTTCTCCTGACCGGAGAGGACCAGATTCTGCCGTCGGTGGCCTCAGTGGATCATCATCGCCATTGCCACTGCTGCACTATATTCCGGCTGCACTCTTCTCACACTCTCTACCCTCGCCCTTCGCCACTGGAGCTGTGGCGGCTGCTGGTGAGCAGACAAGTTGGCTCTCCATCAAATAAAAACATTGCCTCTTCGGCAGTAGTTGGCACACAGAGAACGACGACAGTGGTGGTAATGGCTGAAGAGTCCTCAGTACGGTTCGTAAGCGGTTCATTTGGTTGCAGGTCCGGGGCGTGCAACTTTTTCGCTGCACAGTGACAGTTACGAGGAAAACTGCACTTTGGCTGTGTTAACTTCAAATCAGGCTCCGCCTTGAAATCAGTTTTAGCGGCTGCNTAAAAACATTGCCTCTTCGGCAGTAGTTGGCACACAGAGAGCGACGACAGTGGTGGTAATGGCTGAAGAGTCGACAGTGAGGACGACAGTGCTTCCCTGCAGCCATCGTCTTCCTTCACTCTCTTTGTTGTGCTGTAGTATTCCAGGCGCACTCTCACTCTCGCTCACCCCAGCAGTGAAGAGAGGGATGCTTTATTGTGGGGAACTCTGTCAAATCTGAACGCCGAAACTGGTTTGCTGCGACTGGAAGGTGATCGAGTTCTTTGGAGACAGTGCCTCAAAGAACTGACAGAAGGAAAGCAAGGAAAGAAAAGAAGAAAAAGTGGCGGCATCAAGTAGGCCATTGCCGGCCAATGGCAGAAAGTAGAGTGCCACACTTTCAGCGAGGGCACTGTGATCACCGGCTACCAGCGGCTGTCTGCTTGAAGCACTGCCACTGTGGCCATCCTTTGCCCCAAATGAGTGCTATCGCTGCCACTGACTGACAGGTCAGTGGCCACTTACTTGGTCAGCTGTCATTCACTAAAAGAACACTAGCATCTCCGCTGATGCTGTACAACCGTAATGGAATCACCGCAAATTGGAACGTAAATTACTGAACAAAAGCGGCTTTGTTGTGCCGCAGTGGTAGTGACTCAAAGCCAACTTTGAGACACTGGAGACCATTTACCAAGAGCTTTAGTTGAAACAGGCAACAGGAAATGATGCCGGCCTAACAGCCAAATCAATTGGCCTAGTGTCATTGTAAGATATCACCTTTTTACCATCTTTTTATGCTGATTTTGTAACTGAAATTGCTTTCCAATTACACAGGAACTGTTTCAACTCAACTAAATTTGATTGTAGACGCTCACTGATGGCGCCAATTTTTATCACTTGCTTATGTGTTTCCGTTGATGAAGATGAAAAAGTGAACAACGATAGATACAAACGTAAAGAAAACAAAATCGAGAAGCAAATAAAGCGACGAAATATTGTTATGAGTGGATCAGAAGAGATTCGGAAGATCAGATTTGACAATCATACTTTGATAGAAGTTGTTGCTGTGTCAGCTGCAGCCTTTAAACCGTTCATAATCTAAGTATGTACAGGACGAACCTTCAGCAACAGCAGTTATTGCGAATATCGCCATTGTCAGGCCACCTCACCAGCCTTGCTGGTGCCGTTTCCATTAAGCACAACCACCTGTGGACGGATGTCACTGCGCGGTTGAAATTTGATGGGAAAGTGCGCCGAAGAAAGGAGAAAGAAACGTTTTGGTTTTGCCTCTCCAAAGGTGTCCATCGCCTTGAAGGTGTACTTGCTGAGGAGGTTGATGAGGAAGAGTTTCTGCTGGACAATGCCGTACTCTTTTCCAATGCAGACCCTCAGACCGGCGGAGAAAGGCATCAGCGCCGAATTGTTTGCCCAGACACTACCGTCTTGTGACTGCTGCCTCAGTGGATCAGCGTCCTCGAGTTGTTTCTCCGGGAGAAACCTCTCTGGGTAGAAGCGATGTGGCTGTCTGAAGTACTCCTCCCGTGTGTGCATGTAGTTGATGAAGATGATGACGTTGATGTTTGCCGGCAGTGTCACCTGATCGTTGATGGCCACTGGCTGACGACCTCGTCGGCCAATAAAAGGCCCACTGGGGTAGAGACGCAGTGATTCCTTGATAACACAATCCAGGTACTTGAGCTTCTTGATGTTCAGCAAAGTGAGGCTTTCACTAGAAGCTCGAAGCTCGTCGGTGAATGCGTCAATCTCTTGGCGAAGTTTTGTCTGCACCTCCTGGTGGTGACCGAGCAGGTACAGTGACCATGTTAACGAGCTGGTTGTTGTGTCGTGACCTTAAAGTTGATAACAAGATTAAAATTTGTTAAACAAAATGTGTTGAACAAAAATGCTAAAGTTACCAGCAATGACAAAGGTGCTAATCTGTCGGTCAATCTCGCTCACTCGTGTCAGCTTTGACTGCACCACTCGTTCAGCAATCATCATATCGAGCAGTGACGTGTTGGCTGCTGATTTTTCCGCTTTCTTCGCTGGCGCTTCATCATCATCAGCCAACTTCTGTTCACTCACCATCATTGCATATCGATCTTTGACCACCTGTATGGGGTAGCGAAAAAATTATTGTTTGAACAAACACTCCAACGGCCTACCTTGATGCAACTTTTCTTAAAGTACAGTATTGGCCTAAAGGCATTCTTGATGGTGGCAAAGTTGACCAGATAACGCAGTGGTGCATTTGAAAAGAAGTACGTCCACGGGTGAAGAAAAGCCCGGTATGAGATCTCAAGTAGAGTGTGCACCATTTGCACAAACTTTGGCTCGCCCACTTTCTGTGAGTTGAATTCAGTGCTGAAAAGATTTTCTGAAAAAAAGTTATTTAACAATTGGCGTTAAATACGTTCATCTTCAATGTACCTCCAAGGACGTCAAGAACAAATGGAGAAATCATGTCCTTCACATCGGGAAAAACGCCATCGTTTTCTTTGATGCACTTTTCCACTCGTTCATTGAAGACATTCAAATGTCGTTTAGTATTGACCATGTACCGCTCTAGAGCGCGAATTTTAAAATGGTCGCGTAGGTTCTTCTTTTGAACTTTTAATTTGGTTGCGTTGCTAAGGGAATAAATAACAGAAATGATGCACGATAAATTNAATTTTAAAATGGTCGCGTAGGTTCTTCTTTTGAACTTTTAATTTGGTTGCGTTGCTAAGGGAATAAATAACAGAAATGATGCACGATAAATTTCAATAGTTCAAAAACAATTTACTCACCAGGTAAAAATTCCATCACCGATTGCAGAGCGAAAGATGCCATAGAAGCTCGCCTTATCAACGTAATGTGGACTGTTGAGTACCGTCTAATAAAGAAGTCGATGATTACATAAGTGACAACAATTAAAATAATAGTATTTAGTATTTACCTGCGCTGCCTTGGCATCACAGATGATGACTATGGGGAGGAACGGGCCTAACCAGAGGCGAACGAGACCGTACTTGTTGGCCCCATACTCGTCGCACAGTTTGACAAGCAAACTGTTAAATTCTGTAACGGACAAAAATAATGTAAAATGTGATAAACTAAAACGAACAAACAAACTTGCCTTTGGAAACATCATTTTTAATTTCAGCTTTACTGGCAATGTCGAGCAGTAGATTGATATTGCCAAAAAGAGGCATTCGAATTTCCGGACCTGGGATGCATTTGAGCGCCTGGTACA